TGTTTGTACTTTCTTCTTGCTCTGTCCCATCTTGTGTCACTTCTCTCCTCTTTCTCTTGTTCTTTACACAGCCCTTGCTACATCTGCAAAAAGTAAGTTGGGTTTTAAGTTACAAAGGACTGTGACATGGACAACTTTATGGAATTGTAATACAGGGTCATTTTTCCGACTTCCCTTGTATGCAATGCAACTGAAATCTCTCAAATCAACTTAGGATTAGGAGAATTCCAGTGACAGGCCAGCAATTCACAATGGAAGTACACAGTGTCATAGTCGTTCCAAATCGGAGAGTTTTGATTTTAAACTGTTGGTATTGTCGAGCACATCGCGCTTGCCCCTCGCTCCTCTCCTCTCGCCTGAAAATCACGAGAAAGACAAGGCGTTTTATGCAGTCTTAGCTTAGCTACATGTATCAGATCAGCTACTGTCTATGCTTGATCACGAAACAATGATAAACTAACCTGTTTTGAAGAAAGGTGTACTGTGGCCAAGAATAAAAGCTTGCGTCTTAAGTAGCCTTACAGTTCTCAGCCATGATGACCAGGTCAGCTAAGAACGCCACACTGTATTGTAAATAAACATATTCACTGAGATCCACTGTTAAGGGGTAGTCCTGCGCTGTGTAGGGCGTGGCAAACGAAGAACTCGTAAAAAAGTCCATCTTGAAGGTGAAAGTGCCATATGCTGCTAAAAAATGAGGGGAAAGTAGGAAAAAGAGAATGAAATTACATTAATTTTTTTATCATTACATGCGGTCAAATAGAGCATCCGTGAGGTTAATTGTTCATTCAACCGCACTAAATGCAAACAGGCCAGAATTGCAGAGGTCTTAAATTCAAGTGGAATGTAGCCGTGGTTCCTATCCTCTACTGCACCTTACAAAAACCCAGCATTCAGATTTTGAGTACTTCACCCCAAGAAGAAATTTTCAATTGAGTGTCGAAATTCATCCTTGTTTTGATGGTTTTTCTTTGCTTCTCTCTGTTGCTCGTCTCAAATAGTAACGCCACCTCTAAAACAATCAGGTGCAGCAAAAGTATCACCAAGGGCGATTTAGTCACTTGCATTTTCCCAAGCTTCAGGGAGTTTGCATGTTTTTAGTTTTGAGTTCTTTTCGGCTTCTTGTGTAATTTTTCTTTCCTTTGATTAGCCGTTGTGGTTGGTTTTGGCTTGGCGATACTCCATCGAAAAGAACTTTATCTACATCTACTTTAATGCCCCCAGATAGTTGGCATTGGTGGGAGATATGGTAGTCCAATAACTAGAAACCGGATAGAAAGGTCTTATTATCAACCCTGGTTCTGTCACTGCAATATTGTGAGGCAAGACACCTAACTCCTTTAGTGGTTCTCCTCCACTTAGAATACAAATGAGTAAACTCGCAAGGAAGCCTGATGAAATTCCGAGGAATATTAACTGTAATTTACTAACTTTTCGTCCTGTTCCGTTTTGTGCTTCATGCTAATTAATAATGGTAATAGGACTGAGTGGAGCCCAATTCGGGAGCCTGATTTCTTAATCATGACTATGATTACAGACATAATCGAACGACACGAAGTTCTTTTACTAATTAATCAAAACTATGACAAAATTAGAGAAAGAAAATAGGCATCACTCATACGTTTTCA